TACAACCTATGATTGTCATAAGGTGTGGATTGCGTGCTTAGCAGCAAAAAGCAATCGTGTTATACAAGGTGTAATAATCAACAAGGATTAACCGACAGGGGGTAAAGCTTAGAATATCAAACTATTTACGATATTTTTCTTCGTTTAATCTGACTGGAAAAAAATCTAGTAAAATGAAAAAAATAAAGAGGTCAAGTTGATTATCAAAACACCTCGAGGAGACAACGTAATGGTCATAACTGGTGTCACTATGAGGAAAATAGTTTCACGTCTTTCAATTCGACTAATGTCACCATTGGAACAATAACTGATCAATGGAACGACTAATCAGTGGAATGTTTGATCACTGAAATAATCTTCGTTTCATCAAGTTAAATTCTAAATTTACAGACCAGCAACATACTCTAGACCGAAATCATGAAATTGTCAAATGTATTGCATATAGAATGTTTTCACAGAAATTATGAAAACCCAAATGAAGTCTTTCATGGTTACGTACAAATTTACCAAGCTTGGTCAAACTTGCACCCCTACCCCAAATCTGACCACAATCCTTAGCGTTCCCACTAGTTATCCTCCCCTGCAACGCCAAGTAATATTCTTTATATATCAGAAGTAAATTTCTTCGTCTAGCGAGAGTTTCTAGAAGATCTCATCAAGGCCATCCCTAGCGGACTTTTACCCCCAGTGATAACTTAAGACTTTCAACTATAAAATCTGCTCGATAACAAACATTCCGAGATAAAAGATTCTACATTTGAATGCTAACATGTAACTTGTGCACTTCACTAAGGCAACACAGGCATAAGAAATCACCACGATCAAGCATTCTAGAACATCATTCATGGAACAGCTATTTTGTACTGCATTGTATTGTGTAGGCGTATTTGGTTTCATCAGTACTGACCCAATATTGATACTGGAGTTATGTTACTAAGTATTATTTCATCGACACAGAACTGACGCATTGTATGAAGCAATATAATAGCAAAGATCTCATGTGCCCAATTCAATGCAAATAGAACTCAGCACATGTGAAATTTGACGAGAAAAAACTTAAAAGATTGAAAATATCACAGAGAGCTTCTACCAATCGTTACTAGATGAAAAAGATAAGTCTACAGGAAAAAACAGAAAGGAAACTAAAAAAAAAAACCTGAGAAATTACTTCACAATGTGCGCAACACACGATAATGGCGGCAATAAAGATATTTTGGTATCAGTACTCGTCTATTAATAGTGTGAGCTCTGAACCTTGTAGGCAAAAACTCGCGTGATTGTTTTTATGCAAAATCTTAATGCTTGTGCCACCTCGAGTTGAAGGCGAAACTGTGTCAATTGCTTTAATCAAATATTCCCAAAAATAACCCCGATTAGTTATTTGTTTTGTTTGCCCAATAAAATTATGAATCAACCAATCAGCACTAACCTTCTTGGTATCTTTAGAAGTATCCTTACTAGCAACATCATTATCTTTACTTTCATCATCGTCATCATCATCATCCGGGGCTACATTCCCGACATATGTTGTTCCTGCCCGTTTGGTTACTTTATGGGCCTTTCTTCTAGTACTGATGCTAGTCGTCGTATCGTCTTTGTCTGATGATGTTGCGCTGCCTGTTCGGCCTCTGTTCGAAGTTGTCACGGTGGTAGAAGTATTTGTCGCAGACGCAGTTGTACGAACTGGTGTTGTAACATTAGTTAACCGGGACGTAGAATCACGATTCTCAAAACGTGAAGTATATCTAGAGGGTTCAGTTTTCGAGACAGGAGATGAGGGCGTAGTCTTTTTATCCTGGTCAAGAAAAGGTGACCTTAGCGTACTTGACCCACCAGTCGAAGGCTGCCGACTTGTTGACACTGCAGAAGTAGTGTTCGAGTTACGTTGAGCAGTTGTCCGAGGGTACGTTGTACTCGTTGAGCTTGGGTTTGATCGAGTCCCGTATGAAGGGCGTGTAGGGGCAGGCTTTTGCTCTTCTTCGCTTTCGCTCTGTGTTTCGGACCCGGAGGACTCAGATTTCACAGGCTGCTTAGAAGCAGCCGGTTGTCTGTGTGAGTTCGTAATGTTTTTAGGATTAACAGAGACTGGGTATTTTACGGGAGCAGGCTCTTCTTCCGAAGATTCCTCTTCGGAACCCGTTTCGCTATCAGTCTCGCTATCACTTTCACTTTCATCCTTKTCGAATTTAAATCCCTTYTCTTCTTTTTCTTTGTCTTCCTTGGGCGACTCGGTAAAGTTTGGTACTTTGGCATAACGAGGTTTTTGAGGAGTGAGTTCCCGACTTTTGTCCAGTTCCTTTCGTTCTTGACATATATCTTTTAGACCTAAGTTTTGATCTTTTATTCTCGTTATTGAACTCCTGAAAAATTCAAGATATCACATATTTACTTAACACTATTCTAACCACGCTAATGAGATGTATACGGACAGTCTCTTTCCTTCCCTAAGATTCTCTAGTGCCGGTGATAAACATAGAGAAAAACACAATATGATCGGTTCTGCACGGGCACTAAACGAGGGCTTAATACACTTTTCTTCGCCATATTCGGCTCCTAGAGGATCCTGGGAGGTTGAGCAAGTGCAAAAAGATCAGTGGGTGGTATGCAATATTCACCACCACAAAACAGACGATAAMACAATGTAGTTTAGACCTGTCAATCAAATTGTATGAACCCATTTAAATGCCAAGCCAATAACTGATACATTGCCTGAGCAAAGAATTGTCATTCATTCAGTCTGCCTGTCAATCAATTCGATATTCGGTCAGTCAGACGGCCAGACAGCCAAGAAACTAATAACTTCATTTGTAATTATAATTCAATCCGTGAAAAATCAAATACTGTACATATTTAATATAAAAACCTGAATAGTATCGGAATGAGAATCAGATTGACAGGTCAACACTACAACATGCATACACACTGCACAAAAGTCTCCCTAAATTACTCCCTTATGGTCAATCACATGCATTTTATCACATACTTGTATTCAAGAAAGTCATTCTTATTAACATGCAATTAAAACAATTTCAGTAACTATAGTTTTCAGCCTTTTACGAGAAATGAGTTAAAAGTAGATTAACACTTTGATTGGCAACGCAGATTCGCTTTCTAAATTATCAAAACTACCATATCTTTAGTGCTATTATGATAAAACATGCATACTTAGCATGCAACATTATATAATACATGCGACTACGACATGCATAAATAAGCGAGGAATGCTAGAAAGACTTTTGGTAAACGAACAATATATGTTGAGTGAAGTCCAAAAACCTGTGAGTCACACATTAGTAGTCAATAAATAAATTTGTTTGTTTTCTTTTGTGTCACAATGACTACTACACCTCAACTGTGAAGTTTTGCCACAGGTCAAATTTCTTCACTCCAACACAAAATCAAACAGCAAATCAATAATTGAAATGTACAATAAAGACAATGAAACGAGAAAATTTCACAAGTGAGAAAAGATGAAGAATGTGAACACTGAATGAATACACAAATAATGAATGAAATGAAAAATGGAAAAAATGAAAAAGAAAAGAACAAGTGCAATGTTAAGATTATTACTTGACAGATATAACACAACACACAATGCATAGCAACATGCCCCTAAAAGATCCAACTATAAAGTTCCATGCATTAGGTATTTATTTACTAAATAAGATTATTATTAGCTGAAGTATTTGTATTTTTTTTTCTATATATCTTAAACCATAACATCACCGACTACCTGCAGGACAAATGCCAAGCAATGAATGAATAGCTCTGATTGCTTATGGATATGTATGTGATAAGAAGAGTTTGAATGCATGTGTTCAAATTAACAGCACTGCAACTCTTTCTGACAATGAATTGTGACTTGGAACTGTGTGTGGTTAGATGTCTCTCAACTTGACAAAAACGTTATTTTGTTTTACTGTATTTTAGAGAAAAATCTTCTTTCATGTCTTTTCAAATGTCAYATCTTAAAAAAATCATCAAAAATCTTTTCAAAAATCATCCATCTAATTTTTCCACCCACTGGCTGAACGCATTGCTCTAATGTAGGAATTCAGGATGCTTTTAAAAGTTGGGTGTTGGATATGTTTGTTTTAAATTCTTCTCTTCTTGGTTAAGCTAGTTTCYGATCCAGTAAAAGCCTCTYGTGAGACCAWTTTATTTCTAGGAAGATTTTTTCTCTATCTGAATTCCTATGTGAAAATGCACCCATGGCCAGCATCACCTCACAACATATCATAATTCGAGTCATCATCTTCTAAATTGTCCTTATCAAAATATTCTCCTCTCTAAAGATTGCATTTGGATTCAACTGTAAACATGATTTTCAAGTCTGTTTTTCAATTTAAGGTTTATAAAGTTTACCATCACCAACATCATGATAACCAACATCTAATYTCACATTAACATCACGATAATGTTAAAGATTTTCAAAGAGATTAAGAGAAAAAAAATGTTAGTGAAAGGTTTAGTTCACACAGCACCAAAACGTAAAAAAGACGAAGATTGACCTACTCTAGACATCAATTGGTGCATTTTCTCTAAATTAACAAGCTTATTTGCACAGAAAACTTCTTTTAACTTGAAGGAAAGAAGACTTAGGAAAGAACACGAAAAGTGCGTAAGTTGAGTCGTGCTAACATGACTGGTGGAAAGAGAGAAAGGCAAAATGCAAGTGATATTGAGGTGAAGACGCTCATTTTGTATGACTGCAATCAACAACTTCATAAGAACGAGTTGCATGTGACAGCACACAACATTTTGCTTTGTACCATTATTGCAGGGGCAATTTTATTCAATACTGTCTGCTTTTTCACTTTGTATCTTTGTTTGGTCATTTGTGTCATGTTCTGTCATGCCATTTTTTCTTCTTTTAGTTGCATTTTGTTTTAACTTGCTAATTAATTTTCTTTGCCTTCTTGCAAAATACAAAAAATCATAGCACTGGTAGAATTTACTGATAGAATTATCCATGTGAAAGAACTCTTAGCACAAAAACACTTCAATCTTTTTCGTAATGAAAACATCTTAATCAATAAAAAACCTGAAACATCTCTCATAGTATGAAAAATTACGCACATTGAATATTAGCCAAACTGAGAAGGTATGGCATAGATAGTAATGTCTTGAATGCCAATAAAAACAATTCTATATATTTTTTGCTTTAGAATTTGAATGTCCAATGACAATCTTAAAGTCATGAAAAATGTGTTTTGTTGTTCTGCAGTCATACAAATATCACATGTCAAGAGTGAGACAGTAAAGTTGTGTAGAGCAGAGTGTTAAGCCGCCGCTACGTACATCAGTCCTGCGAGATCATAGTCAGTGTTGTCATTGTTTAATGATGGGTCCTTAAAACCAGTAGTACTACTACAAAAAAAGATCATATTAGCAGTGAGAATTCATATCAAAATGTCTGCCATTTTTATATTGCAACCAGAAACCACTGTCAGGTTGACTTATTAAGGCAATTACAGCAGCAATTTCATTCACATATGAATACAAAATAACATAATAAAAAATATCTAAAAATACCCTCCAACCCAAAAAATACAACAAAACAAACCCAGAAAAAAAAAATCTAGCATATAACACAATAATTTTCATTAAGGTCTTAAACCATCCCTGACTTCAAGGAAAGTAAAAATACTGGAATCATTCAGATATGTTTTGAAGGAATAGTTGTAATTTTTTTCTTCATACCTATTTTCTTGCCTTGCATTTGAAAGAGCATCATTTTTGACAACATAAATATACAGCACTTTCCATACAAATAGCAAATTACAATATATTGACTTTAATAACTATTCTTGACTCTTTTGACAGCATAAAATACTTTAGTTCATGGACTTAAAGTAGTGTTATTATGCTAGCATTACATGATTTGCACACATTTTTGACAGTTACACACATAATGTACGATATACACACAGTACTGGACATACCTTCTTTTTAATGGAGGCACAGCATTACTTATTCGAGGAGCATTCTGAAAAGAGAAACATTAAAATGGTAAGCAACTTTTACTAAACAAAGGGATTTTAGACAACTGTCTCTCAAAATATCAGTTAAGTCTGGTGATCATGGACGCCATAGATATCATACTTGCAGCAATTCATTTTTTTTCAATTCAATGAGAACTAGTCTACGGGTAGTAACAGCTAAAAAACTGTGAAGCATAGTAAAAGATTTAGGGCTGCTTGTATGAACATTGAATAATGCTAATCATTGCATAAATCCTTAACCAGCAGATAAAATCAATACAAAATGAATGGGCAACTTTAACTTGTGGATAACTTTATATGCCCTGAGTACAACTTTACCCTAGTGATTACGCATCAAAAGGACTGGGCCAAGACATTCAAGGCCTAAAGTTTCAAATAGCATTGATCTATGTTAACCTGGGTTTCATAGTGGATACTGAGAAGAGGAAAACAAACTTACTTCTTTCAATTTGCTTTTATCATTTTGCCTCTTTTTAAGTTCTTCTAGAATTTTTACCATATCAGGTTCAGCTAAATCTATGGGTGTTTGACCCTGAAAGGAAAAAAAAAACAAAAAAACAATGAGAACTATGGAAACAGAATCACAATAGGCAACTTGCAATTTTGCCTTAATAGTTACACACAAAGGAATGAAGACAATGTGATGTGCATAGAGCTCAGTCATTCATGAAASGACAATAATTTTTAATGATGCACTGAGCTTTATGCAGGACACCTCATTCTGATTCTTTTGTGTTTGACTACTGAGGCAAAAAAATCAGCTWTTATTAAACAGTAATGCTAACACAATAATGGTACTAAAAGTTTTTGTTTCATTGTTTTCTTTTGTGTCGTTTTAGTATCATAATTTAATGATCATGTTTTGTTTCACAGGTTTAATGACTTCACTCTAAACCCATGAAACAAATGCTACTAAGTAGTACTAAATAGTGTTGCATGGAGAATAGGAAACAAAGGAAAGCATCTATCTTGTACCACTCAAGTTTCATCAATTAAGTGTGTTCACAGATTAAAGAATCCCAACCAACCACAATACAGCGCGCACTCGATATATTGTTTACATACGTTTAAATGCATYAWGCATRYAATAGATTATAGATTGATAGTACYTGTGAGGTACTTAGTTAAAGGTATTTCTGTCMAATCTAAAAGGATGGAAGACAATTTGCGCTCACAAGAAATCTTACGAATCRGCCATTTTCTTGTCAAACTAAAAYGGCGCTTTGGGTTGCAAGGTACAGTTGTTGGTTGTGATTTTTTAAGCTCTATCAAACCTACCACTTTATTCCTAGCAGTAAAGTCTGCACCATTATCTGCTAAAACCTCACAAGCCTCAGTTTGGCCCCAATGAGCTGCAGCATGTAGTGGAGACCAGCCATCATGATCTTTTTCATTAGGGTCTACATTGAGCTGTAATAGCAACCTACGGATACATCATATATTATTATTACTTCTGTCAATTCAAGACATTAATTTTTATGGAATGTCATGAAGTATCTAGAACATATAAACAAAGTTTTCAGTACATTTGAAGATTTTGATCTTTTGCAAGATGAATCTACTACAAAATTATTTTCCAAAAATTGCTTTGAAATTTTAAGTGTATATAATGATGAATGTAATTAATATATAATTATATTATATGATTGTAATTCTTTCATTTAACATCTTATTAGGTATATCATTAATGTTTGTATCCTATGTATCAATTTGATATTTAGAGGATTAAAGTTATAATTATTATTATTTTACACATTTCACAGCACCAACGACATTTAATATAGTTTTTCACACATTTCAAATCTGCTCACAGGAAAGGACTGTAATATATATCAAGCATTTCAATAAAAACAAATACATGTTTGATAACTTAGAAATAAAGAAGTCATCACCACATCTAAAAAATAGCTTTGTTATAACACACATATCAAATCTGCTGGCAGGAAAGGATTATAATCCAAATCATGTATTTTGCACAGTCTGGGAATTGAGCATACCAAACGCAGCATAACGTAGCACGGTCCATTTGTGTGAAGGGCAAAAAGCAGAGTAAATCGATACTAATTCTATGGAGTGGTTAACTTTACCAACCCTTCGTACAACAGGTTTTAATGCAGCTTCTTCTTATTCTACTTATGCCCATGCTTGATCCATAACAATAAAATTTAATTATTATCTAATAAATACTTACGCCATAACTTTTAGATATCCCTTAGAAGCTGCTACATGTAGAGCTGTTGCTCCTGAAAAAAAGAAAAAAATATATTAAAATAAACAAATGGATGAAAGAGTTAACATGACTGAAAGAATGAAACTGAGGCATAAACTATTGCCAATGGGCTATAATGCACCTGTTGACTGAACCTTTGCTTACAAGTAACGTTTTGGGGATTTTGTGGAATATGACTCAGAACAAATCATCCTTGGAATGTTTGGAATGATATCTCAGGTCTCAGAACTTAGCACAGGGATCCCACACTTAAAGTTACTAGTGATCAATTCAGCAATAACCAGTGAATTTGGACTGCTATAAGCTTCTATGGAGAGCCCTAAGTTGTTCTTACTGTCTAACAGTGATTGTCAACTTTATTACTATACAATGAGTAAAACAACTAGCTGTTTTTGTATTTTATTTTTCCAACCATTTTCTTTGAGGGATTAAATTATATAAACCAACCTGTTCTATCTTTTAAGTCATTTATACAATTCTTGTTTAGCCAGCTTTGGGCATCTTCTAACATTAATTTTTCTTCTACATTTCGTGCTTCTTCAGCATCAATTCCTAAATGACAGAAAACAATATTATTTTAGAGGGTAAGAGAAACACAATTAATAATGATATTAATCACTAAAGAGACTTTTTTAAAACTGCCCCCCCCCCCTGATCAATGGTACTATTTAATTTGGAAGGTTTTGCTGTGCCTGGATCTCACAAAAAGATCATATAGCAATAATAGACCTAATCGGCTAATGTGTTGCTATGTACGTTACCACCCAATTCAAATCCTGTGGGAAAAAGAACTTTTGTTTCTAAGAATTCAACTGTGAATTGAAAATACAACGAACAATGAAACTTACTCCCAGATGGTTTGAATTGGGTGGAAATGTTTAAAATAACAACGCCTTAGCCGATTACGTCTATTTCAAGGAACAAACAAATTTTTGGGGGGACTGTGTGATGCACATATCAGATAGCAATGTTAAAAATACTAAGTCAACTTGAACAGTTCTACATTGTTTGCCAACATCTTAACATTGTCTCAGAGTTAGCTGCACATCTATCATAGACATTTTCCCATTYATGYAATATTTCASCCATTTACCTAGTCGTTCAATTTCATCAGTAAGAATATCCTCCATRTCCTCCTCCTCTGCAAGATCCAGGGGTAACTCCCCCTCATTATTGACGGCAGCAACATCTGCGCCTTTTTGTATAAGATATCTGAAAATAAAATGACAGTTTAGTAAACAGTACTCAACTTTCAAGTGATATCAGATATACAAATTGCTTTTTTCGGTCTGGTTAGCAGCCTCCCTTCATCTTAATAAATGAAGCAATATTTGTAATATAAATGTGGAAATGTGCACTTAATCTTAGTTTCTTGTAAACAAAATCCAATAAAACCCCTTGAACATGTTTTTGTCAGCTGTTTATGTCATAATATTACACGAGTACTTTAATGCATTACAATGCACCTTAATACAAGTGCATAAAATGAACATCTATAGAAGATCTTTTATATAATTCTGTACAGAAAACTGCTCTTCATTGACTTTCTGTAATTGAATTTGGCCTGGGGTGAGACACAGGAAACCCACACAAAACCCTTTCTGCGCTCTTGAATTTTCATGCCTATATCTCCAAACATCCCCAAGTGCTTTATTTCACCAATAAACATATGGCAATCGATCCTTTTTCACTAATATACTTTCAACAGAATACATAAAGCTAAATTCAAAACAATTCATTAGTTTTACATTGTGAAGATATTTATGAAAGCTAAATGTTTTGGAACAAGATAACTTGTGTTTAATTATAATTCAGAGAATAATGAATAATAGCAACATAGAATATTATTTGCTTGTACTGCTAAAACATTGATTACATGCAAGGGAATCAGACAGATCAAATATTAAATATTTATGACTGACTCAAAGTTAAATATCAAATCTATTTATATTTTTCAAGGTCTGTTTATGGCTTAAAACATATAGAAATATTCCATATAAACTCTTGATTTGTACTAACAATGGTTTGTGATTTCTTTTATCTAATCTATGTACTAAGCAACATCTTACATAATTGACGAATACAAAAAGTGTTTGTTCTATTTTTTCACAAGAAATACAAAAATAACACAACAAATTTAGTTCCTTATCATCGTAATCACTGTTAATCCCAGATAATCTTTTAACATGGCACATTAACTTGAATCATGTCTACACAAGAGAAGAGATAACTATATCCAGTTTTCCTAATGAAAATAATTGCAAAAAGGATCCCACAGACAATTAGCAGTAACACCAATTTGTATAGCAAAGTTTGATGGAAGCTGTAGTCCTTGCACTGTTTATAGTGCCTAAATCTCCCCAAAGGCTATTTCTATGCTTTCTATGCAGATATGGTACAAATWCTTTTATTCTTTCAAGAAAAAGCAGCAACAGCTTAGATAGCTGGTTTTAGCAGGCATAAAAATATGAGAATGACAACTCTCATAATGTTTTGCTCCACAAAAAGGTAGCTCTGCACAATGYCTATTATTTTGAAAGCTGTTTTTTCTGGAGCACAAAGAAAAGAGAAATCCATGCAACAAACAAAGAAAACACCAATTAAAGGATATATTTTCTATGTTTTCATGGTGTTTAATTCATCCTCTAAATCACAGCTTTCTGTGCAAAGGATACTATTAATTTACTATTAAATAATCTTTTACTCAGACTAGAAAGTACAGTAAGGACCATGAATTTGACTTACAAATACTTATAATTGGAACTTGAAGGCTTGTATTATCAATATCATTAGTAAATCGCAAATGTAACAGTAATACTTAATGATATTTTGAATGCATCATAAAAATACAATGTACACTTTCACTAATGGAAACTGAAAATGTAACTTTACCACATTTCTGTATTAAGGCCTGCCATTAGTAACATTCTGATTTATTGCCACTGGCTATAGATATATACATTAATAAAAAATATGTCTATAATCCAGAACCAGCCGACAAATTAGTGTKTTTTTTTT